GCCAATTCAAGATAATGATTATCTTGAGCTTTTAGAAATATGTTATTGTCAGTTAATGCATACTTATATATATGTATATATATATTTAATTGGCCTCGAGTTTTCAATAAATATTTGACCCAAAAATTAGAATCAATTAAATGGCTTAGATCGATGAACATATGTTTCTAAATAAAAATCCAAATATTTATTAAATTAGCTTATTAGTATACTGATGCGTACTTACATATATATATATATATATGTATATGTATACAAGAATATTAATTAACCTACAACCATGCATGATTCTTGTAATAGATTGATTGTCAAATAATTGGGAGACATCGCATATATTCATAAATAATATTGCCGTTAATACAAAAATTCATGTTAAATGTATTTATAATGGTATTTAATTGTTAGATAAAGAAAATTATGACAAATTTCTTTTAATTTTCAAGTTGTTAAAAAAATAGGTAGACGGGTGAAAAAAAGAGTAAACAGGTTAAAAATGGGTAAACGGGTACACGGTTATAGTTAAATGGGTATGCGGTTATGGGTAAATGGGTATGGTTAACCGTTTATAAACTGTTATGGGTATGGGTATACCCGTTTATGTAAATACCCAATGGGTAAACGGTTATGCGGGTACAAGCTTAAACGGTTATGGGTAAATAACTGCGGTTACCCGCCTGCCATAACCGTTGCCCATCCCTAGATAGAGTGTTAAACTTAGTAGGCTCACGCAAGTACACCATTAGTATTATTGATATTGTCCCAACTTAATTATCTATTATTAGTAGGAGTGGAAACTCCTATCCATTAATTGTATATTATTTTGTTATATGACTAATATGAGATCATATTCTCCAACAGTAAGAACGTTTGAATCCGAAATGCAATAAGTTGAAGAAGAAGACTCTATCCACCATGAAAATCCACCACATACGAGTTATTCTTGTCGTTAATTAGGTTTTGAGATTTTAAGGTTTGAAGAGAAGCAAAAGGTCTCTAAGTTTAACTATGTATGCCTAGCTAATTACATATGCGCAAAAGAAAACAAGCAATTCTTGATTATTTTGTTTTCACCTTTATGTAATAGACAGGTTTGCTAAGAAGAGGCGGGGTGAAACTAAATCTTGGTTATTTTGTTTCGACTCTTATCATCTCGTCGTTGATGTTTTTTAACTAAGTTTTAGTCGGGATTCATATTTGGACACGCAACTAGCACAACCCGAACTTTTCTTCTCCACTCGAGCTCAAATTAGTTTTGGGGCCAAGAAAACTTCGCATCCGGTTACTATTTAATTGAGGATTTGGGCTTTTTGTAATTCAACTCACTTTAAATCTGGCCAAATGCTCAGCTTATGTGCACTGCCACAAGGGCAAACGCTAGCTGCACGATCGAAAATAAACAGCTTTGAATCAAATGGGTCTCGCGTGCTTGTTGTAGAGATTTTTCCCATGGATAGTTCTCATTTTGCGATCCGACCTAGAAAACACTCAAAGCAACAAAAAGCAAAACAACAAAGTTGGAGTATGGAGAACAATCTACAGGGTAAAACTGAGCTGAACATCGCACCATACACCTTACCAATCCATTGCACCATGTTCATCTTCTTCCCCAGAAATATCATATTCCGCTGAAAATCTAAACCCTAGACACTAAAATTGGTCTCAAGGCGACACTCGTGGTTTATTCGTGCCATTCTTTGCTCAAGTTGAGGCCCAAGAATCTTTTGCCATCTCTCCATAAATAAAAAAGTTCATGTAAGCGTTTTAGCTTATTCAAATAGTAAAATTGTCTATGTTCAATATCATGTTCAATGTTGTTAGGGTTTACTCTATTTGAAGAATATAAAGTTAGTGATAATTATGAAATTTACAATCATGATATGGCAATGAAAATAGAGCTTTACGACCTGAGTCTAAGGCTTACTAGGCACGGACTAACAACAATTCAAAGTTGGATACATGTTTGAAGGACTTACATAAATAAGTTCGGTGACGACATGAAATATAAGTTCCGAGAGACATGCTTCGGCCACTTATTGGATTTGAGTAGTTTAATTTTTAGTTGTCAAATTGTCCATGCAATGATCTTCCATTGAGTAACAAATAAGGTGGTAAGTTACATCACTGGTCTGAGCAATGTTATTGGCAAGGACAATGTTGCAAATTTTACCGAACATGATTTTGCTCTGATTACCGAGCTGCAATGTACATGACAGAGTGCCGGACATAAGAGTGCCAAATAATTGCGATTTTTGTAACTGAAGAAGTACTTTCTTAGAAGTATTCGTGGTGTCTGGACAATTACTGAAAAAAGCATTCAATAAATACCACGATGAGGATGATTTGCTGCAATTAGGTCTTTTATTCATGCTACATTTTGTGATTTTGGATTGATCCAAGCGTAAAGGTAAATGACCTTTACTTGCATCTAGCCGATAATTTGATGATGTTCAATAAATATCGTCGGGAAAGTTTGTCGTTTGAACTCCCCCGGGGTGCCCTTTTATTTGCTCCCGAGAGCACGAACAATGACGGTGGTCTAGTGCTGATGGTGGTAGTGATTACGGTAGGATGAAGACAAGGGGTAAAGGCAAGGCCAATGCAATATAAAAGACAAGTCAGGAAGTAAAGTGCAAGTTAATGTCAAGAAGAGGGAAAGGCAGTGGCTAGGGATGGGCATAGGGGTCTTTGGACTCGTGAATTCGGACAGTATTATTCGGCCCGATATAAAACTGTCTGAGTTGGATCCGACTTGTGTTCAACTGAGTCCAAAGCTGAGTCCATATTTCTTATGTGTGTGTAGGTCACTTGTCATTTTATTAGTGGTTCACAATAAAACACATGATCGATAATTTTATATATGTTCAACCCTAAGAAATAAAACAACGATCTAACTTCTTCAAACAAAGAGTCTTAAGAATCTTTTTATAACATTTGTTGGTATTGGTTTTGTTAGAAGTAATTCTTTCGTAGTAGGAACACAGAGATTGTTTTATATTGTTGTTTTGTTATATGACATGATTGAAAACGGATCCATTTGACCCGTAGGAACAAGACCATATCAAATGGATCCAAATGAGTCGGTTCTACTATTAAAATATATAAACCTGAACCAGCTTGGGACTTGTTAGAAAAAAAGTCGAATCCAGATCTACCAAAAATAGACCTGACTTGACCTGCGCCCACCCCGACTTAGCTTTATAGAAAGTAGCGAAACGATTATTGCTACAACCAATTTTTTGTACTCTCATGAGCGATTATTAATTGTTAATATGTTGTAAGACTAGTTTATGTCAACGACAGACAGTCATCCAAATACAGAACACCGACAAATGTAGTTTGCCCAAGGAGGCAGAGGCAAAGGGTGAGGGTGGAAAGAAAAAGCAAAAACTGGTTGGAGTTTAACCATATTGACCTAAATAAATATCATATTGATAGTTAAACTATTGACGAAATCATGAGCTATATATGCACATCAAAATTGGCGTCAATATGAAGAAGCTCTGAGTATCTTGTGATTACCTAGGGACACGATATAAGTTAGTCATAGTAATTAAACTAGCATTTGAGCTCGTGCGATGCCGCGGGTTGTAAAACTATGTTACACGTATGAAATATATTCAAATCTATTTACATCCACAGTGGAATCTAGAAGTCATCTAAAGTGTTTTTGGAGATCACAAAATATAAATGTCTATGTGTAAATGTAGAAAATCTTAAATGCATTTGGCCACACATACCCTGGTATGCTACAACCAAAATAATGTAAAATGGCTCATCCATATTTTCCCATGTACATTATGAACCACTTATTATCCAAAATATTGTAGCAACCTTTATACAATATATTCATTAGATTGGTTGATCAATCAACTTTTCAAAAAATCCTAGTACAATAGTATGTGATCTCACATACCTAGTTGCTCATCCCTATATATGCAACAAAATAGTTATACAACTCCATCATCGCAAGTCCTCACATCATCTTTCATTGCATCCCTAAAGAGAAAAGTGATTCAAAAATGTATTTGGCCTAAAGTATAGTGTTTACCATATGTTTCCTTCAATCAATTGAGAAATCTAGATTAGTAGATGGGCTTTGCTCAAAAGAAAAAAAATTCTTCCTCAATTTTTCAAGAAGCATGATATAGAAGATAGTGTCCTCGTATATATTAATTGTTTATTGATAGTAGCAGGCTGCCAAATAATTTTGGAGTACTGGACGTCCTTTTAATCACCTAGTTGGTGATAATAGCCGAAGGCTGCCGAATAATTTTGGAGTACTTGGCGTACTTTTGATCACCTGGTTGGTGATAATAGCGGCAGGCTGCCGAATAATTTTGGAGTACTGGGCGTACTTTTGATTGGCTTACTTTTGATCACTTGATTGGTGATAATAGTGGCAGGCTGCCGAATAATTTTGGAGTACCGGACGTACTTTTGATCATCTGGTTGGTGATAATAGAGGGTGAACCTTAAGTGGAAGGATGTAGGTTGGAGTTTGAAGCCATAGAGTCTGGCTCTTTTAGGCATATGAGCCTTCGCCCTCCACATAACATTCCAGCCCATTATTTTGGGCTTGCCATTTTTTTTTTGGCATGCTGCCTTCTTTCTTTATTTATGATTACCCTTTGGTGGGTTTATACAGATGTCTGCAAAAGATAAGAAAAATAAATCACATCATTCAAAAAAATTGATGCAGAAGGTGGGTATGGCAGATGGTTGGATAATGGGATAGCATGTGCAGCTGACAGTTGCAGGGAGCAGGACCTGCTCGATGGGTCACACCCATAATTCCCTTCTCTGCAATCATGCCATCACCACCGCAATTATATTTGCTTCTTTTTATCTTCTTTTTCTTTTCCCACTCCATTTCCTGCAACTTTCAAAACGTCAAGGTTGGCAGAGCCCATCTACATAATTGAAAGGAATTTGAGCTTTTACTTTTGCTTTTACTTTCTCTTTTCACCGCACCTCTCTCTGTCTCTCCACCTCCAAACATATCACCTGCTGACTTGTTTTTTCTTTTTCTTTTTTCTAAACGGCGACAACTTAGTAAGACTATCTCTTTCAGCTTTCGTGTAATCAACATGGTTCTTCTTTATGATTGTGTCCTTCCTCATAACCTTCATGGCAAAAAGCCCATCATCGTCATCACCGCCACCGTTACTGTCGCCATTGCTCTTCTTTCTCACTTGAAAGACCTTCTCAAACGCGCCCTGACCCATAACTCTCAGCATCTTAAAATCTGCAGTCCCAAACTTCCGAGCTCCGAGCTCGGTCCTCTCTGATTCCCCACCATTCCCATTCTCGGTTCCGATTGGGGTTTCTGATTCGTCGTCATCGCTATGGGAATTGAGGAAATCGAAGGTGAAGGGAAGGGAGGAGGGAATGGGAGTGAAGCACAATGAGGGGCCCACGAATGAGTGAGAGCGGATGTGGATGACTAGAGAAGGAGGCGGGAATAAGGCGGCAGCGGGGGTGGATGAGTCGTTGGGGGTGGTGGCTGTGGGGCCGAAGATTTCGTTAAAGTCGAAGTCTTGAGGTGGGGATGAGGAGGAGAGGGCGAAGGACGGCAGGATTATGAGGCTGCTGAGCTTCGCGGCCAACAGTGAATGAAGTGTTTTCTTCTGAGATGAGGTCACCATCGTTCTTCAGCGAGCAATCTCTCGCTCTGTTTTTCTCTGCTCACTTAAAACCGTTGGATCTTCTGTTGATGTAAACTCCCTGCGTTGTTGTCGTGATCAATAGATAGCGCTCGATCAAAAGTGAAACCCAAAGAACTAATGAGGGCCTTGTTGCAAATGACAGTGGAGACCGACAAGACCACAGAGAGGGTCAACGCCCCCACTGTCCCTAGCTGAAACCTCGCTCCTTCCCCCATCTTTTTGGCCTCCGACCCAACTTCAAGCTATCTAGTGTCCATAAACAACCCAAAAATTAGAATGACAGAAACCGATAAATGGGTAATCTGGAGAACTAAACGTTGAGTTGTTTGGAAAGGGATTAGAGTCTCAGATCTGATGGATGGTTGAGATCAGTTGGAGGTCAATGCCCAATTGGTTGTGTTGTCTGTCTCTGTGATTTGCTTGTGGAATTGGAGGCTATTGGTCAGCTGATTCAAGAGAGATGCACCTGAGTTTCTCTTTCTCTCTGTAGATTGAATGGGTGTGTCTCTGAGTGTGGGTGTTGGGTTTCTGCAGATTCACGGCGGAGGTGAAAAATTGAGAGAGAACCGACATAGCTTTTTGTGTCGTTTCCTACAAACGGCGCCAAATGTTGATGCACAAAACCGGAGGGGTCTTGGAACAATGTAAATCCGACCACGAATCTACAAGAAAGTAAAGAACACAAGATATATCGTGGTTTACCCCAATGTTTGGGCTATGTCCACACTGATGTTGATATTGTTTCTCTGTAACTGTATGTATGGATTACAAAGTGTTGTTGTGTTTGTGAGGATCAAGATGTGGAAGGATGATAATAATTTCGGCAAGTAGTGCTACTACCGGGAGAAGTGTAGCGGCGAAAGTGGTAGACGAGTGTGATTCGGTCAGAGGATGTGATAAGGAGCATGCAGGTCTACCTCCATGTGGGAACAATATTGTCGATGCCTCTGCGGATGTGTAGAATGCTTTGGGTCTAAACAAACGTCTAGGGGTTGTGGATGTTAGTTGGATCATAGCCAGATAATTACGAACCAAAATGTATATGACAGTGATACCACGTGGTATGTTGACTTGGTATTATGAGTCTATACAAATTGTTGATTTTCAAAGTGTGTTTGTATAGTATTTTAATACATAAGAAGCATTACAATGATACAGCACTATATAAGGAGGCTTGAGTAAAGTTCACACTCAATTATACTCCTTGATTTACGCCATAACAACCAAGTTTTGGAGATTTCCTCAGCATTATCACCTGTAATTATTAAGTCATGAACATAAATCAACATAACCAAGTTTTGAACATATCCAATGCGAACAAACAATGATGAATCTGCATTGCTCCTTTGGAAACCAACACTGTTAAGAACGGAACTTAGCTTGGCATACCAAGCTTGAGGAGATTATTTTAGTCCATAAATTAATTTGTGCAGTTTACAAACCAAATCGGCTACATTGCTTTGAGGATGACTTGGTAGCAATTTCGTAGACTTCCTCAAACATTTGAGTGAATCCACAAGCCACCAGAATTTCTTTATGCCTCTCTATTGATCCATCTGAATTAAATATTATCTTATAGATTTTGTGTTGATTGAGAGCTTTAAGTTCTTCTCTCATTGCCTCTTTCCACACATCCTGGCTGTTGGTCTCTTGAAAATTAGTAATTATATATAGTAACTAAAATTAATAAAAATATTTTATGAAAAAATAATACACTAACTAAGAGTTCTTCCACTAGGTGGTGCTTCACATTGCGGGGGACGTACTTGTATTCTAGAACGAGTGTTGTGCCTAAAAATCTATTTTTTTAAAAAATAAAAAAGTTTGTACTTTTCTAAATATACCTCCTATGTTTAGAAAAATTTATAATATACACACCAAATTATAATATTATAACACAATTTATCATTAACCTTAAGAATACTTTAACGTTCACCTCCCTGTCCTTCTTCCCAAACCCCGTTCCCCTCCTATTCCCCATCTCCCTCCCCACCCACCCTCTGCCATTCTGAATTTGGGGGCCCTGTGCGGTGACACCACTTGTACACCCTCAGGGCCGGCACTGGTGGGGAGGGAGATGGGGAATGGATATACTAAATTGTTCTCTCAGTGCAATTGTCTTGAGCGTATTATCCCTGATCCAGGAACTAGGTTTGAGTCTTCCCAGTGGTGGCTTTTTTGTGTGTTTTATTTTTAATTATTTTGGTATCTAAAAGCATGGTTTAGTGTTTTATTTAAAAAAAAAAATTGGTATTTAAAAGCATGGTGTTTTTTTTTTTTGGGAAAAAAGCATGCTGTTTTGAACCCAAAAACTTAGGGGAGGCAAATCACCTAGCTACCACGCCAAGAATATTTTTCTTTCTTTTATATTATCATTTTTTATGATTAAAAATGTAAAAGAAAACATAGCAACTATAATGTTAGACCTTTTAAGGGTTTTTATTCTTTTTTTTTTGTATTTATAAATAAGGAGTTTTGAACTCAAAAACATAGGGATGCAAATAAGTACCTAACCACCAGTCCACCACACCTAAATTTGTTTCGTTTTGTTTTTGTTTTTTTTATCTCAATTCATACATAATCGTAAAAATTAAAATGTAAAAGAAAACATAACAATACAAATTCTATACAATTTAAGGGCCTCTGTTAAAGTCTCGCACAGGGCCCCCAAAATCTCAGGACCGGCCTTGCTCCCCACCCACCCTCTCCCAATTGTATCCCTCCCCAAACCTGTCCCCTTCCCCTTCCACATCCGTACCCACCCATCTCACAAGCACCCACACCCATTACATCAAAAAAATTCAAGTAGTAAAACAAATTATCAGAAAACACAGTAACAAATATACAATGTATATTAATTCAGAATATAAAATAAGAACGAACAATGTAATTCCAAAATATAACAACTGTAAAATTATTAAGCTCGAAAGACACCAAATACATCATTCTTGATCCCAAGCAGCCGGACAAGACGGCTAAAATCGACTCACAACTGAGCTCGAAGGAAAAAAAAAAAGAGCTCACGGCCTTCCTTAGGGAAAATCATGATGTTTTCGCATGATCACCCTCTAACATACCCAATTTTATCATAAGATAGCCTACCACAAGCTACATGTCGACCCTACTGCTAAACCAATGATTCAGAAAAGAAGACACTTCGCTCCAAAACGAGTAGCGATCATAAAGGTGGAGATCGACAAGCTATTGGAGGCCGGATTCATTGAGAAAGTGGCGCATTTAGCATGGCTAGCCAACGTCGTGTTGGTAATGAAGAAAAAGAAGGGCAAGTGGAGAGTATGCGTAGACTACATTGACCTCAACAAGGCTTGCCTGAAAGATCTGTTCCCTATCCCCCGAATTGACTTACTGGTGGACTCAACCACAGGGAACCAGCTTCCCAGTTTCTTTGACTTACTGGTTGACTCAACCGAGTTTGTGATCGAGCGAGGCATCTACTGCTACAAGGTCATTCCTTTTGGCCTCAAGAACGCATGAGCTACCTATCAAAGGTTAGCAAACATGATGTTCAAGAAGCAGATTAGGGTTACCATGGAGGTCTACGTTAACGACATCATGGTAAAAGGAAAGCAGTGGTTAGACCACCTCAGAAACTTGGCAGAGACATTCAGTATCCTCAAAGAATATAAGATGAAGCTCAACTCAACCAAATGCACATTTGGAGTCTCCTCATACCGATTCTTAGGGCACCTCGTAACCTAGCGATGAATCAAGGCACATCCTAAACAGATAAAAGCAATCTTGGAGATAAAGTCCACCACCACTTTGAAGGAGATCCAAAGTCTGACCGAACGAGCAGCCGCACTCAATCGTTTCCTCTCGTGATCAACCGACCAATACAAGCCTTTTTTTTAAGGCCATCAAGAAGGTGCACAAAGACAAGTGGGACGATGAGTGTGAAAAAGCATTTCAAGACTTGAAAAGATATCTGACATCCTATCTGCTATTATCTAAGTCAAAAGCAGCTGAGGACTTATACATCTACTTAGCAGTCTTAGAAGTAGCAGTAAGCTCTGCCCTCATACGAGAAGAATTAGGGGCCCAACTGCCAGTATTGTACATTTCTAAAAGCTCTCAAACAAGAAACTCGAGGATTGAAAAGCTAATTTTGGTGCAATTGTTGCATCTTGAAAGCTTATACCATATTTGCAGGCACATACAGTCATCGTCATGACTCAATATCCCCTACAATCTATTGGAACTCGGCCAATACGGTTTGGTTTACTGACCTCGCACAACGATAAAAGCTCAGGCCTTGGCTGACTTTATAGTGGAGTTCATTCCCAGCCTGGAAGACACAACAGCACAACCCAAAGACACCTCCGAAGCAACCGAGTATGCCTCGGCCAAAATTGCCCCATTTGCAGACGATTTTGGCATCTACATGTCGACAACTCCTCCAGCTTCAAAGAAGTAAGGGTTCAAGTAACATGTGACAACTCAATACTCGAGCAGGTAATCACTATGGGTTTCAAGGCATTAAACAACAAAGCAGAGTATGAGGCCTTATTGGCAGGCCTCCTAATGGCACAAGATCTGGCTCACAATCCATTCTGATTCTTAGCTCATCACAAGCTAGACTACCAGAGAGGTATGAATACAGCTTGAGGCGTTTCAAACTTACACCCTTACACAAATACCACAAGCAAACAACGTTCATGCAGATGCCCTGGCAGCCTTGGCTTCGCTTTGGACTATTAGTTCAGACACTCCATCCCGATCAAGTATTTGGGAAAACCGAGCATAGAAAACGAACCAGCAGCCGAGGTATTATAAGTTTATACAACCCCAAGCTGGTAAAATCCCATCATCGACTACCTAATCAATAGGACACTCCTTGCATAAAGATTGGAAGCTAAAAAACTCCAAATAAAGGCGGTATGCTACTACACATGGAACAAAATTCTCATCCGAAGATCATTTTCAGGGCCACATCTCAGCTGCCTAGCACATCCTGACAA